TTCAGATCCAACACCCCTGGAGTTCGAAGTTGACTTCTTTGCTACAGTGCCACTATGTTCTTAAGACCTTTCCATTTTTATATTTTTCATTCATATACTTTAAGGTAGATCTTCATTTGAATTCAATCAAAGCAACGGTGGCATAGGCATAATACGTCTGTCATTGATATGAGTTATCGTAAATGCTGCATTTACTTTCTCATAAAAGACTATAATGGGTTTGATTGCTTTTGTTATGAAATTATGAACAGTTATTTCTAATAAATTGAAGCATTTTCTATCATTTCTCGTAATGAACATGAGTAGTACAATCTGCGCTCAATCCGCTAGCTCTGTTCAGCGGGGGAGGGGCATGTTTTGGTTGTACGAAACTCTCTGTAACGACTTGATTTCAGCCAAGAATGTTTGGGCGCTGGTTTCTTCATACAGTCATATAGTCCATTTCTTTTAGGTTTGCCGTTGAAAGTGCGCACAGTCGATAGTCGATAAAACGAGAAGCCAAGGTGTTGTGGTGGATTTCATTATTTACATCATAGAGCAGCTCGTCGTCCGTTTTGTCTGTAGGCATTCTTCCTCGACAACACTGGCGCACTGTATTCTGCATCGGGCAGCAGAAAAGACTAGAGTGCAACACCGGAGATGGTACAAACATTGGTTTCTGCATCCCTTCTTGTGTCAGCGAGTGTCTGTATGATGTTGGGCCTAGGTATAGTTTTTGCTGTCACCATATGCACAAGTCCGGTAAAATGTAATACCAAGACATTTTGGGTGTTGCTCTTGCTTCATCTGGTATTGTCCGTCACATTCAGGGTCTTCTTCGATTTTATTTTATCGTCTTCCACGCTGAAAATAGATTAATCATGAGTTATGCATTAACCTACATTCTAATAACCCACATGTTTTAGTTTTGTTATTTAGTACTTCTGGGTCACCTCCTTCAAAGATACTCGTATTTCCTCCTTAATACTCAGGCTGTGTTTCGATTGGATGAACAGCTTCTGTTTTAGATCGAACGATGCCCAAGGCCGTTTCCTAAACTGGTAATCAAACGAAAAGTGACCGCTATCGAAGAATTTACTGCCCAAGACTTCGATTTGATTGGCTACGATCCTCATCCACCGATTCACATGAAAATGGCATTATAGAATGGTCATCCGCCTTCACTCTAGAATCACTCTAAAACTGGTTTATTCCTTGTTTGTGCAGCCATTGGAATTAGTTTTATCAATTAAAAATCGTGGATAGGTGTACTTTTTGCACTTTGATTGCGACTTTATGACAGTCAAATGTCTTACTACGTTTAGTTTTCACAGTGCGTAAATTTCCAAATGATTATGGCTGTTTTTCTGAATTTTTTTAGTCCATCATTGTTACGCCAGACCTGCGTCTTACAACCGCGATCATCATCATCGTCTTCCATGACTGCTTCTCCTTTCGGGTTGCGAAGGCAGACGCGTCAGATCAGACAGTGCTTCCAACGTTCCCGATCCTGAGCCTGAGTTTCACGGAAGATAACTGGAATCTCTAGCAGACTCCTTCAATATATTTGCACCAAGTTAATCTTGACCGTCCCCTGGGCCTTCTGCCGGTCGGATTTGTAAGGAAAAGTTGCTTACCTTCCTTTCTGGAGGCATTCGCAACAAATGCCCAAGCCATCGCAGCTGTGACTTCTCAATCTGGAGAAGCAAAGGCTATATACTAAGGCTCTTCCAGATGTCAGTATTCTTGACCATGTCGAGACGCGTAAGGCAATCAACTCGTCTCAAAAAGCCCATTTCAGCAGCTTTTACTCGGGTTAAAAGATTTTATTCATCGTCCACGGCTTATGATCGTACGTAAACATGGTAATAAAGATCGACTTAAACACCTAGAGCTCGGTTCTCAGACTCAGCCCTGCCTTAGTCAACGGTTCGGGCTAATTAGTGGAGAACCTAAATGACTACTCCATTCCGCCGGTCGATCTCCAAATTTTCCACCATTAGTAAACACAACCCTGCGATACTTGAAGTTCTCCACCTGCTGCACCGCTTCAATGCTAATCTGAGGAGAGCAACGGACAGAAGAATGAGAAAGCACTAGGCCTTTTGTTTTAGTCATGAACACATGACGGTCACGTCGCACTCTGCTGCGCTCCTTTCTAGGGAGCACTGTAGGTCAGTTTCAGAAGATGATAATAAAACAAGGTCGTCTGCAAACATCAGCCTTTTCTTCTCCACATCTCCTACACAGATGCACTCATCGGCTTGGCTGCTCCTGACGATTCTATCCGTGTACAACATAAACAGGATAGGGGACAGGACACAGCCTTGGCGGAGACCAGTGCCAATGCTTAATGGCTTTGACTTAACGCCATTTACTCTGACGTAGTACCTGCTATCAGAATGTGGTGATTGGCTGGCTATCTATCCCGTATTCTCGATATAGGTGAACGGGCGGGGTCCGTTTATAGGCATTTCTTACGTCAGAACCGGATGGGCGAACAACGAGGATTTACAATCCGACGCAGGGCAAATATATGGTCAGAAGTGATTCGACCAGGTTGGAAGCCACAATGCTCTTCTTGTATCTTGGAATCAGTTATTCAGTGGCACCTACTTTCTAGCAACCCTGCGTGGACTTTACCTGGGAGGCTCAATAAGGTAATGCCCGGATAATAGGTGCACTTCCTGTGGTCTCTCTTGAAAAGAGGTCAACAGTGCCCGTTCTCCAGTCCGGTGGTGTCTTCTCCGTAGCCAATGCAGTTTGATAGACACGTAAACCAGCACATACGTTCTTCTCCTAACGCTATGAGCATTTCAGGGCGGATTTTATCAATTCCAGCAGCCTTTCACCTTTTCAAGCTTTTCACAGCTTGTGTAACTTCATCGGCAGAAATTTTAATGTCCGCTGTATGCTGCTGTACAGGCGAGTCTTCCTGCTGTTGCTCGAGGTTAAGGAATTTCTAAAAGTTCTCTCCATCGCTGAAGAATGTCTTTATCCTTGGTAAGAGCGTGTCTAGACCTGTCCTTCAAGACTTTTGGACTGCCCTTGTTTTCACCTCGGAGTCGGCATTATTGTCAGCCAAAATACCTTGTTTGCCATCGGGAAATTG